TTAGGAAACAAGACTTCAAGACCACGGCCACACAGCCCGGAAGACCCACACCAGCCATCGTATGCCGGCCATGAAAGCCTTCGACAATACGTAGTGAATGGATTTATTTAAACAAGCTTGTCTAGTTGTGAAATTGTCCTTTTGTCTGTCTGCATCTTTTTAGCGTCGATGTAGCTTCATGATGGGGATCTGTGGCGCTGCCTCTTGCCAGTAGAGACCGGATCATAGAAGCTTTTATTGGGGAATTGCTGATTTAAGCCTTGTTGTTATTATTATTATTATTCCCGCCTTTTTAAATACATAACTCAAGGCGGCAAACATACCCAATACTCATGCCTCCTATTTTCCCCACAACAACAACCCTGTGAGGTAGGTTGGGCTAGGAGAGAGAGGGACTGGCCCAAAGTCTCCCAGATGGCTTTCATGCCTAAGGTGAGGCTAGAACTCACTGTCTCCTGGTTTCTAGGCCAGCACCTTAATCATGACATCAACTGGCCCTCACTCTTCATCTGGAACCTTAACAGGAAGATGGTTATGGCTGTAGTTCCCACTCTAGTCTGCAGTATGGAGCTGTTGGTAGTATATTATACAGTATCACAAATATAAATTATGTACTTTCCATCCTGTCAATCCTATAACATGGGAATAATAACATTAAGCCACATTGCAGAGTTGACATAAGCTAGTTTTGGTCTCAAAGACATATTCAAAGGGCTATACTCTGAGTTTTTTACCTCTTGACTTGCAATGTGGCTTTCAAATTGGATCCTATATCTTCTCAACTATTTTATAGGGCAGTTTTAATTTTTTAATTATACAAGAAGTTCTAAACTTGTAATCATGCTTTTTAAATTAACCATGAAATCATCTTTTTAAACAAAGGAATGTCTATAATAATCTATATTCATTTTTCTTTTTTTTAAGTCTAATTCAATATGCTATAGTATAAAGATCCCATATTTGAAAATCCATAAGGCAAAAAGCCCCTCAATTTTATGTAACCAAGAACCACATCACTTCTGTAGTGTATAACAGTTTCCAAAGAGTCACATGATAAAGGAACTGTACCAGTAACCAGCAGTTATTAGAAGGGCCTACTTTTTTCTTCACTTTCACTTTCAGTTATTTTTAACAATGGATTGAAGAGTGAAGTGAGAAAAAACTAATGCAAATCACTGCTACCAGTTACTAGCTCTGCAAGACTAAACCTTAATCACAATAAAAGGAACAGTAGGATAGGTGGTTTATTTCTTTCTTATTTTTAATTATCCTTGATATAGTATGTACTGATTTTTCTTGAGAAGACTGTCAATAATGAAACTGGTATCTTAAGCAACTGCATGTGTTCTCTAAGAAGCCTAGGAACAAGAGTTGAACTATATTTGCTTCTGGCAAATTAACTAAAGTCCCACTTCTTTCCTTTTTTGTTTTGGTTGCAGAATAGGTTTTCTTGCAAGTTAAATAATTTCTTTGTAGTTAGAATGTAGGATTCTGTTAATTGAAAAGTACATATACTTTCTGGTTTTATATGCAGGTGAGCTGCCTTCTATTAAAAAAACAAGTTACCTTGCCACTTATTGCTGCTGATAAAGGCTTAACTTACTGAATTGCTCATTATCATACTGAATGAAAGGCTATAAGATTCTGCCCATTTTTTAAAAATGCAGTCTTGTTTCAGTCCTATGGTGTTGTTTAAATGCATCCCACTTGGCTGTACAGCACAGTGAATTCAGCCATGTGAATCTGTTCTTTAGGTTCTTCCAAATGACTGGTCCTTGTGCTTCTAGGCAAAATTTATTATTATGAATTCTGGCAGCAGCACTGGCGTATACAGTGCCCATTTGCGGCAGGGCAATAGCACAATAAAAAAGGAGTGGGACAAATTCTTTACAGTTATTAAAATAACATTAAACTATGTACACATACTACATAGTATCTCAACAGTGTATGCTTGTACACTATTTTGTACAATGTATGTTTGTGTTTGTAAAATGAAAATACTAAATGTGTTGGGGGAAAAAAGTTGCCTGTCATTCAGCCATACTATGCCCTTGGTACAAGTTCCAATTAGTATTAAACTCTTTCCCAAGTTTCATATTGGTAAGTTTTTCTTACTCTACCTGTTCTTCCAATGTCTGGTTTCATTTTCTTTTTCAGGCAGAACAATGAATGGCAAGTCACTGCAAATACAAATCTGTCCCTACTGCAAAAAGCAGTTTAAACGTCTCAAGTCTCACCTGCCTCACTGTAAGATGGCAGGTGGTGAAGATTCAAGAAAAGCTTTGCCTCTCCTCAGAAAAGCCCATGATTCTGTTACATCTGAATTGCTAAATACTGAGAAAAAGAAACAGCAGACCAGAAGCTTAGAAACTATTCCCAAAGAGGAAAGTAAAAAGAGTAAAACTGACTTGGTCACAAAAGAAAAAAGAAGAAAAAATACTGGAGTAACTGGTACAGTAGTAAGCATCAGCCTGCCTGCAGATAAAGATACAGAAAAGCGAATTAAAAGCGCTAGTGAAAAGTCTCCCCAAACAAGGGAAAATAAACAAAAAACCTCAGAAGAGCTTCCAGCACAGGTTGATAAGAAGCTATTTCCAAAAATAAAACTTCAAGAGAAGTTATCCACAGTCCAAAAAGCCAGCAGAGTCTCGTTAGTTAAAGAAGAGATTATATCTGGTCTTAGTTTAGAATCACTAATGCGGAGTGGAAAAGCCACTTCAGAATCATATCAGAAACCCTGTGCAAAACAAAAACAAAACATAGAGACACCTGTAGAGCAGAATGTGTCCCTTTCAACTAATTATTTCATTGAGAGTCTTCAACCAATTCATCAAGGACTTGGTGGCAGAATAGAACAAATCACTGCAACTCATCATCAAGTGAGAGTGTTAAAAAACAGAGGTGAATCCTCTGTTCATAATAGCCCATTAAATGAAGCTATCCTTGATAACAGTGAGAAAGGACAATGGCCTCTGAAATCATTGTCAGGAGGAGGAGAGATTGCCTTGGCCAACAGGCAACAAATTATTACAGACACTGCGGACAAGAAGAGCATTTCAGAACTTGAACTTACAGGAAACATTGGGAATGCAGACACAGGAAATGACAAGACCACAGTTAAAGCATGCGCATCACAGGACCATGTTATAGACAGCTGTAGAAGGGTTTCCAGAGGCCCAGTTCACTTATTTAAAAGTAAGTTAGATGCATATTCTTCATTTCTCAAAGCAGAGGATTATCCTAAGGAATGTCTTGCTTATCCAGATCCTAAGCCAAATGTGTGTCCCACATTCACAGCAGCTTTCAGAGAAATGAGAGATGATAAAACACCTAATAACTACTTACATGATTTGGAGAAAAATACGGATTTACACTCAAGGATCATTGTGACAAAAGAAGGTAAAAATTCAGTGATGGGTTTAAGAAAACCCTCACTCCAAGGGTTAGAAATAACTACTTCCCATTGGTGTACATCTCCAGAACAAGACATACAACTATCTTCATTGGGATTGGAGTGGTTCTCAGAACTGTATCCCAATTATCAAAGGCTGGGCTTATTTTTAGAGAGAGAACCACAGTGGGATACCAGAATACCAGAAGCTCACATTCTACCTTGTGACAATCACAAAGGTAAAAGTTTTTAATCACATAGAATTCTAAAAGAGAATATAGCTGTCCATTAGATTGGTTAAAGTGGATATTAATTCATGTATGGTTTATGCTCTAGGAGAAACAAATGTTTATGTCCATAGTATAAATTACTGTTTGATAGAATCAATATGTTCTTTGAGACATTGTATTTGGTTTCAATCTGTCAGTCAGCCTAAATTCATTACTCTAAGACCTGTATATAGTAATCTTTAGATCCATTAGAATATAGCTGCCTATGTCGCTTAAAACATTCCTTGCACAATCCTCATTGTTATCATCCTCAGATTTCTAGCTAATAGTCCTGGGGAGCCATTAACCTGGTTCTTTGTCACCTTTAATATCTTTTTCCCCTTTTTTTAGCTCAAAATGTGTCTAAGTAAAGGAAGAAGGTTCATTTTGAATTTGTTGTGCAAATGCAGACTAGGACCTTCTTTGAAACTGCATAATATTTCTAAGGAACCTAGAATAACAGTATATACTTCAAAATATATATGATTTTTTACAAATTGAAGTTACCATGACTATCTGCAGAACCCTTCTGAATGGAGGTTTACTTAAGAGGCTGAAAATGTTGGATGTTCTAAGCCCCCTCCTTGAGAGATGGAATGGCTATTAAACAGATGCATGTGTAATATAAATAAAAGGTCTATTCTCACTTTTTTCTCCTTATATATAGTGGAATACCTGCCTTCATAGAAACATTCTCACTTACTTTTGGGATGCAATCAAGCTACTTGTATAATCTGTATAAAAGTCCTTGAAAATGTTTTGAGATGTTCTATTATGGATAATATATAATGCTGTGCTTCAGAGTATATCCTTTGCCAATTAGTACAAAATACCTGCTATTAAGAGGTGAAAATTGAATCTTGGGAATCAATTTTTTCTTCCTGTTGCTCATTTCTGGAACATACAGGAACACTTAAATAATTTATAGTAATAAAGTAAATCCTAGAACAACATATAGATAGGATAATATTTCATATACCTGGAATATACTTACAAGATATTGCCAAACTCCACCCTGTCTGACGCATTGTGCTAGCCACAGCATATTTATCCATGGTTTATTAAGTGACCTACCATTGTTTGAGTTATCACAACATGCCAAACCAAAGCCAAGTAAGCCACATTGTAGCTTGCCATAGCGTATTCCACCCAGGCACTCTTTTTGCTGCCACAGGCATAGCAGACTTCTAGAAGTAGCCACTCTATGTGGATTGTAATGAACTAAACTGACAACAGATAATCTTGGTTTAATTACAGGGTTAAATATTTGGGTGTACTTAGTTTTTTTCAAACTAGCTATTATGTTACAAGAAAAGAAGAGAAAACCATTCTTTTCCCTGCCAAAATGTTCTGCTCTGTTGTTGCCCTGCAAAGAACAGCATGAAAACTATTTGTGTTTAGACATCCTGCTTTCTATATGTACAGATCACTTACAAGGCTAGCTCTAGCTAGCATTTTGCTACTGTCAGGTCTGCTGGATTTAATTATCTGTGTGGCCTTTCATAGTGCCTAGAGATTTACTTTTGAGAAAACACCCACAACTGCAGCATCCTGATGAACTCATGCTGTGCCAAGCAAACCACCCTTGCTTCCTCCATATCGACACACCAATTCATGTGTTGTGCTTTGTTAATTCACCCTCTTTTCCAAGTCACGCTTTTCCATATGCCGTAGTCCACAAGGGCGCCCATAACTGTTAACTTAGCTGTCCATCGTAGCTTTGGCCAATCGTAGCTTTGACATAAAACTTTTTAGTAAGAGAGATAGTAGTCTAGGTTGCCAGCCTTAGTCATAAGGCTTACCATTTCCTGCTAATGGTAAGTGGGCTAGTACTGGTCAGTTTTCATACATTTCAGCTAGAATGCCACAAGCAGGTGTGCAAGATGTTTAGTTGTGAACCATTTTCATTGCAAAACTTTGTAAAATATCCCTTTGCCAAACTGTTGTTTTGAGCTTAAGCATAACAGAGCTGTCCTAAGCCCAGAACACTGTTTTGAGCCCAAACAACCTGATTTGCACTTTAGGTGGGACATTTCATGCTTGAGACAAATTAGAATGTAACTAAACTTGTTATTATACCTATACAGAGATGCAACTTAATTCCAGTTTTACCCCAAGCTTGTTCATGCTGTTTCATGCAAGGTCGGTTATTTTCATTCAGAGATTATTTTGCAAGCCAACATACTGTTGCCTGCACCCCCACCGACTATGAGGCACATGCAGTGTACTGACACACATTCAGAATGAATCCTAAATCCTGAAGCCATAGTCTACTCACTGACCATCCATTTTCATATTAAACTGAGCCAAAAATAAACCTGCTCACTCCCATGTACATTATAACTTACATTGGAGGGAAGCACAAAAGACTCTACCAGGAAACACTACGTCGGTTTCCCTGGGAAGAAATGAAAGTAGGTGCTGTGCTTAACTTTGGAAACTTGCAAAGAAAGCTTGTATGTAATATAAGCAAACATCTCGCTGTTCTGTCTCCTAGTTCCTCTGGCAGAAAAATACGTAAAGGATGTAAAACTCCGGGATTTGTCCACCTGGCTAGGCCTACGTGACTTGTCTCCACAGGGGATGCTTGGAGCAACGTTCAGAGGTGAGAGCAAATTACACCCTGCTTTGAAACGGGGGAAAGGTTTGCTATAGCAACCATAGACTGCCAGGAAAAGATGGCTGGACTGTTGTTTTTACTGTGAATGATAAAGGAAGGATTTCACGGGCCACATAAAAACTGCTTGTTTTTCTTAAACAGCCTGGAATGGATACTGCAACAGGAACGTCAGTGTGAAAAAGTATGGATTGCCTGGGATTTCTCTTCTGCTGGGCTTGTGTACCCTCAGCTATGCCTGGAGCCATGAACACATTAGTAAGAGTGTTTCTTCCCTTGCATTTATGGTTTTCTCCAAGAAACGGGTTATGCAGGTGGTTAGTGGGTTTGCTTAATGGGTTAAGCTTGTATTTGTCAGTGGCTGGAATTGACTCTAAGCCATCTAGTTACTGGCTGAATACATAGCATTATTTTTAAAAGCCATGGTTTGTTTTAATTATAGTTTGTTGAGTATGCCACATTGGGTAGATTTATACATTTACAAAAAAACACAAGTCATGATTTAAAAACTGCAATTATTGGTTCCTGAGCCAACCCCAAACAAATTACATAGTAGCTTAGTGTGGTGTGTAGAATTGTTTACTGATTTCTAACCTTTAGAAACAAGTTCTGTTCCATATCTGCACTGAAAATGCAGAAAAGCAATTTGAACTAGTTCTCAAAAGAGCTTTGCAGAACATTGTGCATAAATACATAACTATTCTTATATGATACTCTCACAGTGCAGTGCTATGCTATTCTATTTGAAAGTAAATCCTTGAGGTTTAGTGGAGTTTATTCCCAACACTGGACTGGAGCTTTAGGCATTTATATTCATTTGAATACTAGGGTAAGTCAGCAGGGAAGTCACATTGATGTTGATATATGTGTGCATCAATGCATATAATTATTATAATAACTCTGTTTTTTTGCTCCTGCTTCTGAAGAATTTAATCGTTGGCGGAAATACCCTGATGAAGATGCAACAGTATGAATATAAGACACATGTGTGCTGCTTGATCATGGACCTTGCCATGGATCTCGCCCAGTAAAGTGGACATTACCAGTCTTGCTGCAGAAGCTACATGAAAGTATTTTGACTAGTAACTTAGCACCACTTTAGAAAAGGTAATCTGTCATGGCATAGATATTTTTTGCTGATAAACTCACAGTTTCTGTAATCTTGACTTTTCACAGGCAGGATCTGATGTCCGTTTTGCACCATCTGCAGTGTTACTTGAGATTCCTTTTGGCCTGTGGAGTCTAATTAATGGGGCAGTACTCTCTAGTATGTCCTCTGCCACCTGGAGGCTCAACCCAGGTCCCTCCTGAGTCCTGCAGGTGCTGGGAGTGAAGGAGCATAGCAGGCTGGGTCCAGGAGATGGTCTCAGTGGACCATAGTGGGGGAAGACAGGTCATCCCAATGGGGTCCTTTAGGGCTTGATTCTCTACCCTGTCCTGTTAAACATTTATATGAAACTGCTGGGAGAGATCTTCCACTGGTTTGGGTGAGATGCCATCAGTATGCTGATGAGCCATAGCTCTTCATTACACCAGAAGCTTAACTGGGGGTGTTGTGAAAGTCCTGATTTGAATGGGACAAAGCAGACTGAACTGAACTCTAGCAAGATAGAGTTATTGTTTGTTCATTTAGTGTGAGGCAGGTAGTTCCTTATATAGCCAGGCTATAAGCCCTTTTTAGCTTTGAAGTCTGAAACCAACTTCTTGGACTACACATAGAAAATAATTGCCAACCAATGCAGGTCTTTATATATTAGAGCAATCTTCACTGTTTTCGTATAGCTGCTACAGACTGAACTTTTCAGATGCTTTTCAAGTACAGTTGTATGTATGGTATATTGCAATGGTCCCAATATTATGTAACCAATGTTGCCAAATCAGACTTTTTAGGAGTGGCTGTTGTACGAATACAGACCTTACCATTGCTGCCACCTGAAAGTCCAGTCACAATATTGAATCAAGGAACTCTCTCATCTGCACATTAGGGGTATCACAGATCTTATCTAAAATAGGTCAAATCAAGAGTGTAAAGCCAAACTTTCAGCTAACCATCAGTATTGCCATTTTGTGCAATTAATTTTAGTTTGTTCTTTAATTCAACTTATTATTTTGCTCAGGCAACATATCAGCCACTTCCTTGATATTAAATCTTGAAGAACAAGAGAACACTTGGGTCCATATGACCTCTCCCAGCAGCTTCCTGTAGATATTAAATAAGAAAATACTTCCAGAGGATTCTGTCTTGTCTCTAAGACAACCAAAGCAGTTCATATTGCAATGGATAGCCCAGCTGGAATGGGTTCATTTCAGCCCAGATAATCAGTATCCTTCAGATGAACATTTGAGACAAATGTATTTTGGTAAGCATAAAATCCATCTTCAGAAACAGAAAAGGCACCATTTTTCACTGCATTTGAAGGTAACACAGGGTACAGGATAACCTGTGCTGTACACACAGTAGTGCCCTCCAGCACTTTATTAGCACCTACCATCAGGCCCTTTGCTTGCTTCCCACTCAGTGTCACAGTGCATTAATATTAGCACCAGTGAGCATCATACAAGCAAAACAGTGCATGTTTGTCACAAAATTTGGCCTGTGCATCACAATATCTGTTGCTTCTCTACCTACTTGAATGGTCAGGTGGTTTTTCTAATGGCACCGTGTATGATTTATTGAAAGAAAATGATTAGGCAATATAACCAACTGGTTAAGGCCTGCAACAAGCAAGAATCACTACCCTCAGGGCACCAGCTCTGGATAGGTGTGGCTGGGAAGAGGGAGCTCAGGAGAGCCTCCAGGGGCAGTGCTTTCACTGCCATCTGTTAGCTCAGAAAGATAGTTGATTCTGTCTCAGGGGTATCTTGAAGAATTTGCTGTTTATATCAGGCCCCCCATGCAAGCAAGATGTGAGAATATATGCAAATCTGGCCAACTATGATGCAAAGTGCAGCAACATCCACTTTATTTTTAAATAACCCCATAGGTATGGGGAGTGGCTAAAGTCCAGTGCTCTACTTGGAAGCAAGACGCCCTGTCCAGAAAAAAGGCAGTTTATTCTGGTACAGTGCACCCAAGATAGGGGGAGCAATCTCACTTCCTTGCTGTCTGATAAATTGGCTTTCTATGGCTTGCCACGCCCGTTATGACCATCTGTGAATGAAGTAAAAGGCCCCTCCTGGCAACCATTGTGGAGACATAGATGATATGCTTTCAGAACACCAAATGGGCCTAATGGTCCCGAAAGGTTGTCTAACTCTGCTATAAATAGTTTCATATTGTGTTAAATTGATAGGTTTATCAAAGCTGATCACAGCACAAGACAGACATAGCAGGTGAACTGCTTTTTTCTTAGAGCTTTGCTAACACAAGAAAAGCAAAAATAGATTCAATCAGTGCAATGTTAAGCAGATATCCTCAAATAATCAATAGTATTACAGTAATGGCTTTTAAAATGTATTATAGCAGAGAAGAAGTAACATTAATAATAGAGTGTTCTACGTCTGGAGAAAGAAATCCATACCGTTAAGTAGCTCAAATGTCCTTTGAGCAGAACCTTGCCTGTAGAGACAAAAAGGAAAGCACTGATTTAAACCAAAGCTGATCTGTTGTACTCAGATGACAGTGGATTTGTTTTTCACTTTGGAATTAGCTGTGGAAACCTCATACCCTCAGTTAATTGTTTGGCCTTTATTATAAGAAGTTCAGAGTGGGTGTGGGTATGCTCCAAGTCCCATCACTTAAGCAGTGTCATCTGGCAGGACCCAGAGGACAGGCCTTCTCTGTCTCTGCACCTACCATATGGAACAGCATTCCCCCCACCTCACCACAAGATTTAGAAGGACCCAATGCTACCTGCCTTTTGCAAGGCTCTCAAAACCTGTTTTTTCTGCTAGGCAGTGGTTGGAGCTTTTGTGCTCATCTTGGCTACTTGTTTGTTTGTTTTAATAGTTTTCATCATTTTATCCTTTTTTATTTTATTTTATTTTATTTTATTTTATTTTATTTTATTTTTTTATTTTATTTTTTTATTTATTTATTTTTTTTATTTTATTTTATTTAGGTTGCCCTGTGTGACATTTCATTTGGGTTGCTCTATACATTGATTAAATAAATTAATTAATGTGAATAAATTTAAAATATCTTGGCTCTCTGCTCAGCACCTACTTCTGCCAGAGGGTCAAACTGTGAAGCACAAGAGGTGGGCCAGGCAGAAGCCCAGGCCCACTTTTTCTTAATCATCTGGTCCGCTGTAGGCCCTCTAGGACAGCCTTCCCCAAGTATTAATATTCAGATTTATTAAATTTCAGATTCCATAATTTGCAGCCATGATGCCAGGTCCTCAGAGCAGGAAGGCAGTAATAATAACAATAGTAACATTAAACCCAAACAATAGAGTATCCTAAAACCAGGGAAATAAAATAAATGTGAAGCAGCTAAATGTTTTTGTATGCAACTATTAAATACATTTCCTGGATCAATCTTCAGGCTGACAATCACACAGAAGGAATTGCAAAACTGTCACCTTATTTATGTTTGTTTTGTAAAATCAACACCTTAGATTTTCTACTGTTAACTTTAATAATAAAATTAATAAAAATGCATCTTTCTAAATTTTATATATGTTTTTGTCACATCTTGTTTTTACAGTATTATTAGTGTTACATTACTGTTACTTTTATTTTTATAAGTTTTTATTTGGATGTTAATGGTTCAGTGTCTTTTTAGCAAGGCAGGATATAAATGCTATTAAGTAAATGACTAAAATCACAATAAACAAATAAAATTCAACACAGTAGTAATCCAGTACACAAACACTGATCTAGCATAAAACACAATACAGATAAAATACTAAAATCACCATTAGTTACAAAAGTTATATCGTAGAGATGAAAGTGGTAGAAAATAGTAGAATGCCAGAGAGAACCCAACATATTGGCATGTTGAAGAAAAAACAGCAAGATGGGCCCCAGGCTGCCTTCCCTTGGAAAGCATTTTAGAGCTGGGACTGCCACTGTAAAGCCATGGTTAAAATCTTGGCTTAGTGTTATGTGGCTGCTACGGCTCTTTCACCAAATCCTACTCCCATGGCTCTGGGCAAGGCTGAACTGGTGTCCTTGGTGGGAGAGGAGAAGGATGTACTGCTCCTGGGCTCCTTGAGTGCGCTGAAGTCAGATGAATCTATATAAAAGCACAGTTGTGTTTCTTTTATTTTGAAATATGCTGAATAAAACAGCTAAGTAGAAAAATTGTGCAGTCTACATCTACTCTGCAGATTTTTAAATATTGCTACTTGTTTTGGCCGTAGAACCTTTTGAGGGAATGCATAGGTTTTAATTCTTAAAAAAAAGAAAGAAATACAAACAGATTGGAATCAATTTACCCTGAATTCCAAAAACCACTGTTCTTCCACATGGTGTATGCTATTCTCTTCTGCTTCATTTAATGATTTTCACTATCTATCAGCATCTCTGTGCTTTGTAGCTTGTATATTTTTATTTTTTAATAATATTTTAATTTTTAATAATTGGGTTTTTTAATGATTGTTTTTATATATTTGTTCTATTTCATTGTTGTATGCGGCCCAGAGTAACTTCTTGTGAGATGAGTGGACATATAAATTTGATAAATAAATAAAATAAAAATAACTTCCTGTCCCATTGTGATCAATAAGAATATCACATGGAGAGTGACAGTTTGCTCTGCAATTATAATTTAGTGCTTTGTTTCTTGGTGCAATTCAAGGTGTTGGTTGTTACCCTAAAATGCTCAGGGCCTGGATATCTATATGCTTATCTAGTATCTGTGGGTTGGCCCATCCAATAAGGTTGTGCAGGTAAACTCGCTCCAGGTCCCTTCCCTTAGGAACTGTCATCTAAAGATCTGAAGGAGTTGAGTCTTCTTTACTGGAACTCCATTTCTTTGGAAATGCTTACTACCCAGGATTAGACTAACCCTCCCCTGTTATATTTTAAGAAAGCCTTTAAAACCTGGCTTTCTAATATAATATAGAATTTCTACCCTGGGTTGTGCTTTGGTATTTTGTTTGAAGCAGTTTTAGTCTCCTTTTTTTCAGTTATTGTTTTGTACTGCTTCTCATTTTATTGCAGTTTTAGTATGTTAAAGCTTTTACTGTAAGAAGAGAATGTAAGCCGCTCAGAATTGCTCTGGATTGGAGTAGTAATATAAGCTTCAGCAAATACATAGATGGATAGATGGGAAAGTAGGAAGGGGGTCCTTGAGAAGCAGGCAGGCATGCAGGCAGGCAGGGGGCTCTTAACAAATAAAAAATTCCACAATTGGAACCAATCAGAATGCTACGAAGAGCAAGCATTTGGCTTCTGCAGAACTTGCATCTGTGTGTTCTATATGTATATGTATATAGACACTGAATTTAATTTAATTTAGACATTGCCCAACTCCAGAATGATTGTGGGTGGCTCACAATATGGCAAAGAAAATAAATTACAAGTCAAAAAGTCAAAAAGAACATAAGCAAATAGGATAACGGCAAAATAAAGAACAAAATGGCAAATCCAGCCAACAATACAAAAAACATATCAACAAAACTTGCAAGGGGTTTCAACCACCCCAACCCAAAGGCTGGGAGAACAGCCCAGCCTTTTAAGGCCCTCTGTAGCAGTATCAGGGTGGGAGCTACCCAGAGCTCAGGGGGAACTTCATTCCCGAGAGCAGGCTGTGTGTGTGTGTGTGCACGCGCACATATACATACACATGTGTATGTATAGTTGAAGCAAAATCTGAGTTAATAGCTTCTTTTAAGCTACTTTTATTTTCTGGGTCTAGTATTGTTTGCTAGATAGCATATTAAAAAGCAGAGATGTCACCTTGCCAACAAAGATCCGCATAGTCAAAG